TTTTCTCTCTCTCTCTCTCTCTCTCTCTCTCTCTCTCTCTCTCTCTCTCTCTCAGATAATGTTTAAGACCCGAATAGACACACTCGTCATCATTTAGGAGGCGGGTTACGTCGACCGTGTCTGGCAAGGTCAACCTGAGCTGAGGGCAATACAGTTTGGGGTTGTTTTTTTTAATCCCTTGCCCATTTATATGAGATTGAAGCCTCCTGATTAGTAGAAAAAAGAGCCCATGATAGTGTCCAATGGTGTATTACGTACATACTTAGTTTGTGGTGCAACTGTTACAAATAAAGATTCAAGGATCATATATGTAACTAATAAATGATCTGAGAGCAATGATGAGTTTAGAAATAATGGTGGTGATGTGGGATTGTGTTTTTAAGTAAGTTAGCGTTAGTCCTATCTTCTTCTGCTCCAATGAGTCGCGAGGGACGTGGACACCCTCTACCCCGTTCCCAACTGGAAATATCTTTAACGTCACTGTTGAGTTCCGAAATGGTGGGCTCTGTCTCTGCTAAGGTGAGGGATATACAGACAGAAACACCCTCGACAAGTGAGAAGCTCAAGAAAAGTTGCTTCTGTATTCAGTATCGAACTCACGTCGTTGTGTGTGCATGCAATAGCAATTAGTCTGAGAACCAAACAACAGACGCTGCTCGTATGTTCCAGACCACTACCTTCTAGCGCACAAATGCTCTTTAAAATACCCACTTGGTCCGACAGTCTGCCTGCAGAAACTTTCGTGTAATAACAGACGCATTTACGGGCATGTGTTCTTCGTTGGAAAACTACTTCAAACTTTGGCGCGCGCAAGGACTTGCATTCCACAGGAATAGAAAGATACCAGACGCGGTTCGTCCATAGAGCACGGTCGTGCAGTGACCCCTAAATTTGTTAATGGTTTTTTTTTACGTAAAGCACCGACAATAATACATTAATAGAAGCCAGAAACAAACATTAGCCAAACATTGTATCAGAAGGTCCTCGCTGGCGCCGTAACTAACATTTCTGTGTCTATAGCGCCGTAAAGCACCTACTATTCCACGCCAAAGCTTTAACTGAAAATCATAGGATATTACAGTGATAACCTGACCTATAAATCGCTGTTTAGAATAACCCACGCGTTGACGACACTCGCAGCGAGTTTGGCGGTACATAATATTAATAAGACGACACATCTCAAATGTGCTCCTGTCGAATAGTGCCGAAACATAGCCAACAGTAGGCAGTCTAAAAGATAAACGCGATAAACTGTACACTATTCTATGCCAAAATTATGTGAACCCCGGAGCAATCCATCTGAGTACTCAAATGAATTGTGATTGGTTCATTCATTATCTTGCCACTATTTTGGGTGACTCTGGGACCGTGAACCTGAGGGAGGTGAACGTGTCGTCCTATGAGTTGAGCTTTTGGAGGGTTTTGTTGTGGAGTGGTGAAAGTTATTATTTGCGTGTTCAGTTCTAATGAAGGGTGAACGAAATTGTTGTTTAGCTAACAAACAAATTTAGTACTAGAAATCAAAGCGGCAAGTAAAAAGAATGAAAATAAAAGCACGAGGTCCTCTCTTACCAACCCAAAGATCTTAAAATTATACACCGTTTCATTTACTAGCCTGTGATAGCTGGATTGTGCACGCCCACTTTTTAGCCCAACGAGCCGCCCCTGAAAGAAAGCACAAAAACACGTTCCACCCCCTCTCCCCCCGACAAAAAACAAAACTACATTGTAGCCTAGTTATTCTTAACTGATTTAGAGCAGCGGTCAGTGTTTGGAAAGAAGGCCATCTAGTTAATTTGGTTTGTGGCGAAAAAACCTGTAAGGCTCTAGTGTATAAATGTGTGCCTCCTACTAAAAATACTCTAACGGTACGGTACAACACGGTACAGTATGGTATGGTATGGTATCGTGATATGGGACTGAAGTAACATCCCTTTCAACACTCACAGCTTTCCTAGATCGTCGTCTTCAATGAGACAGTTCAGAGACAGAGACCAAGCATTGAAACATCTAAGTCTAACCTAAAAACTCAAGTTTTAAAAAATCGCCTTGATACAGACTTAAACCAAGCTCCCTTCTCCATCCTCGAAAGACACACATACACACACACACACACACATACACACACACACACACACTCTCATACATACACATACACATACACACATACACAAACATACACACACGGATACACACACGCGCAAACACACTCATACAAACATATAAATATACATAGACACACATACACACACACTTTCACACGCACACGCACACACATACACACACGAAAACACACACACATACACACACATACACACACGCACACACACACACACACACACACACACACACACACACACACACACACACACACAAACTTCAGAATGATACCGGCTCAACAAACCGTGTGTTTAGCCTAGCTTCTTTTGTTTGTGGGTGGTTGGCAGGTGCTCTGGTGTGGTTTG